GGACCCCAGGTGCTTCTCTGCCAAGCTGCCTTCCATCCGATCACCCGCCCCGCCACACCCCAGTGTGTACTGGTGCCTGGGGTTATTCCTCCCCAGGTGCAGGCCTTTGCATTTTCTTTGATTGAACTTCGTGAGGTTCCTGTCTACCCATTTCTCCAGCCTGTCGAGGTCTGTCTGAATGGCAGCACACACATCTGGAGTATGAGCCCCTCCTCCCAGTTTTGTGTGATCTCTAATCTTGCTGAGGGTGCACTCTGTCCTGATGTTTTGGCCATTAATAAAGATGTTAGAGAGTGTAGGACCTAGTATTGACCCCTGGAGTATACGCTAGTGACTGGCCTCCAACTGGACTTTGTGCCACTGGTCAAAATCATCTGGGCCCAACCATTCAGCTGGTTTTCAATCCATTTCACTGTACACTTATGTAACGCATGCTTCATCTGCTTGTCTGTGAGGATGTTAGAGGAGACAGTGTCAAAAGGCTTACTGAAGCTGAAATAAACAACATCCATTGCTCCCCCCTCATCTGCCAAGCTAGTAATCTTATCATAGAAGGCTATCAGGCTGGTTAAGCAACATTTCCATTTCATAAATCCATGCTGACTAGTCCTTGTCACCTTCTTGTCGTTCGTATGGAAGTGGTTTCCAGGATTAGTTGCTCCATCACCTTCTGTGGGATTGAAATGAGGTGGACTAGCCTGTAGTTCCCCAGATCTTCTCTCTTGCCCTCTTGAAGATATGAGTACCATTTGCTCTCTTCCAATCTTCAGGAACCTCTCCCAATAGCCAGGACCTTTCAAAAATAAACAGGAGTGCCATCACAGTAACGTCAACCAGCTCCCTCAGCAGTTGGTGCATCCCATCATGCCCCATGGTCTTATGTATCTCCAGTGTGTTTAGGTGCTCCCTAACCTGATTGTCCTCCACTGAGAGTAAGTCAGCCTTGCTCCAGATTTTGGTTTCAGGGGTGTCGGATTCCTGAAAACTGGTCTTGCTGGTAAAGACAGACACAAAGAAGGCATTGAGTACCTCAGCCTTTTCTGTGTCCTTTGTCACCAGGGCCCCTGCCCCGTTTAGCAGTGGCCCATGTTTTTCCTGGTCTTCCCTTTGCTGTTCGTGTAGTTGTAGAATATTTCTTGTTGCCCTTCACATCCCTTGCCAGATTTAACACCATGTAGGCTTTGGCTTTCCTGACCTCATCCCTGCATAATTGCACAGTATCTCCATGGTCCTTCTGGGTTATCTGCCCCTGCTTTCACTTAGACACTTTCTCTTCGTGTGTGAGTTGAGTCAGGAGCTCCTTGTTCATCCATGCAGGCTTCCTGCTGCCTTTTCTTGTTTTTCTACTTGTCAGGATGGACCATTCTTGAGCTTAGAGGAGATGGTCCCTGAATATCTACCAGCTCTCTTGGGCCCCTCTTCTCTCCTGGGCTGTATCCCATGAGACTGTTCCAAGCAGATCCCTTAAAAGGTTAAAGTCTGCTCTCCAGAAGTCCAGGGTTGTGTTACTGCTTTATCCCCTGCTCTCTCTCAGGATCCTGAATTTCAACATCTTATGGTCATTGCAGCCAAGGCCCCAACCTTCACATCCCCAACTAGTTCCTCCTTGTTTGTAAGTATGAGATCCAGCCAAGCACCTCTCCTTGTTGGCTCCTCAATCCCCTGTGTCAGGAAGTTGTCATCAATGCACTTCAGAACCTTCCTGGATTGCTTGTGCCTTGCTGTGTTGTCCTGCCAGCAGGTGTCACAATGGTTAAAGTCCCCCATAAGGGCTAGGGCCTGTCAATGTTAGGCTTCTGCCAGTTGTCCGAAGAAGCCTTGTCTGCTTTTTTTTTATCCTGATCCAGGCAATCTATAGCAGATGCCCACAGATTATGGGAGGAAAAGAGTTGTTCTGGTTGCAAGTGGTTTTGCTGATGTCCGTATTTATGTCTCTACTGTGGATCACTATGGGAGTTAAAGTATAGAGCAGTTTAACCGTAGGGTTAATGAAGTGTGTAGGGAAATATCTAATGTGAGTTATCATCTGTTTTGGCATAGGACTACATCAAAGTTTGGTTTTTAACCTGTCTTTTGCTGGACTGTTAAAATGCTAAACTATAATAAATAATTTTGTGGGTTTTGTTTGTTAGATCATAAAAAGTTACCTTTCAAAGTTAACTGTTACATAGTTCGTGATGTTTTTCCAGCTATGTTGAGAATTTGGTTTCCTCTTCTCCTGCATGTGAGAAACAAGGCCATTTACTGATTATTGGGTTTTTTACAACCAGAGTTTAAAATTGGTTATTTTTGTCAAGCAAGTAACTGTATTCTTTGGACATCTTTCTGTGGTGTTTTAACACTGCGGTAACTTTAATACATACTGAAGTTAGTATACTGCTAAAAGGATATATACTTTATCTTAGAACCTTGCATTTAAAACATAATGGAGGTTTTTTTGTACATTTGATTACACATTTTGTCTTGGGAGATTCCTAAGTCATTGCAGTTGTTTTACGAGTAGATACTTTTGGTCATCCTTTTTGTACAATTTTAAAGGCAGAACTGAAGTATGGCAATACATTCAGCATTAGCACTTACTGTCTTTTCAGGGTTTTTTATTATCCTTGTTTTGATCTTACTTTTTTGTTTTAAATGATAGGGGGTTTTCTGCCAATGTTGTTACAAAGTTTTCCCACAAGTATTGAAGTGTATTAAAAAGCTGTAAGAGCTGTGAATGAATTCTGTTCTTCTCTCTACACAGGACTTAGCAATGTAAGCAACCATAAGCAAACAAAAAGGCTGCACACCTCAGGGTAGTAGAAATCTCTTACTGTTCTACGGGTTATCACTTCGAATTTCATAGCAAATGCTATCAAAGAGTAAAACTACTGATTGTCATCTTCTCTAAGAAACAAATTAACTTATTTTTAGTTCTCAGTGGAAACCAGACCTTTATTTATGTAGCTTATTCTGATCTCTTTTAATTTTTTAGACAACAATTATACATTGAGTTTTTAAATTTAAAACTGTATTGCATTTGAATTTCATTTAAATTATATAAAACCTTCAAATTTGTTTTGAAAAGTTCAATTTCAGTTCAAAATGACTCAGTTCAAATAGCTTCTAAAATAATTACATGTATGAATGTGCATAATTTAACTTTTGTCTTGAATTTAAGTAGGGTTAAACTGACTTCAATTTTATATCTGTCTTGTGGACATTGTGTTTTTTACTTCTTTGACGATAGTGTTCAAAGAAGAGAATTTAGATTGATAAAGGAAATTTACAGGAAAGCTTTGTGAATGTTGGTCAGAATACTTTAAAAATTAAATAACATTTTCTTCACATGGTGATACATCTTTTCTTTTGGAAAAGGTTTAGTAATAAAAAGTTGAAAATAAATGTAAAAATATACTCAGGAAAATTCCCTGTGTAAAAATGTTTATCTTCCTGCAGAGTTTAGTTCTTGAAAGGTCCTTGAAAAAATCCTGAGCATGCAGAATTTCTTCTCTTAATATTGTGATATGTATTTCAAAGCTTTCCAATGACAGCTGGAGCTTTTTGCAAACCAGTTGGAGTTGCGAAGGGCCCACAAAAATATGAAGGTGCCTAAATTCCTTTGAGTATTCAGAGCCTTTTCCACGGTTATCTGTAAGATTTGATCAGAAAAAGAAAAATACACTGCAAGATAGTTGTATATTGTATTTAATTGTTATGTTCAGAGGGTCTTTGTGATTAAAATGATCAGTATTCTTATATATAAAAATAGTCTTAAACAACGGGGATGAGTGATACTGCCACTGCTTTTGGCAAAAAATGTTTTTAAAGGTTATTTAGTATTGTGCATAATATCCTGGAAATTTTTTAACAATATTAATAAGACAATTTTAATTAAATGGTTTCATGCTGCTATTAAACTAAACTTGAAGTATGTATCTTAATCAGTTTTGTATCTCATCTCAACATCCATTTATGGTTAAATGAAAAATTCATAAAATTTCCATGTTAGAAACTTTTCATTCTAGGTTTTAGAACATCAAAATATCTATAGTCATACTATAAACTGAAAACAATTTTTTTAGCACAGTGGCCTGTGGGTTTTTTTTGTTTGTTTTTAATAGCTCTGTTTCTTCAACATGATATGAAAGTTTAAAGTACTGTGAAGCATTTCAGGTTTTAAAAAATGGATTCTCAGGGCTGCATGTCCTGGGTATTTTTAGTGCTTTGCCCACTTTTTAAAAAATATTTCTTTTCCATGCTTGTTTATATGCATTGTTCATTTGTTAGCATTCTTTCATAGTTTTTAATATCTATGCATTTTTATCTAATTTATCATTTCCATATTTTTAAAGGTCCCCAGGTGCATCCAATTTTTCAACTTTACCAAAGATCTCTCCATCTCTATCAAATAATTATAACAACATGAACAACAGAAAGTAAGCAATATACCTTAAAACATTATTTAATTTAATCACCCAGTGTGACATAAACAAATTTCGATGTTTTACAACTCCTAGCTTAAGGATTTTGATTTGTTTTGCAATATTTGGATTGTGAATTGTTGCTGGTCACTGTTTCATAGTGTAGGTATTGTAAAGCATGATATCAGGAAGCGAAACGTGGTTAAAGATGTTTGGTAACTCTTAGTCCTCGGTAGAATAGACACTAAAAAGAATGTTGAGCATTGTAAGAAAATATATAAAGACTTCATTTAAAGACTTCATTTAGAGTTTATCATGCTAAAAATACATTGTTGTTATTATTATCCTGCCTGAATTTAGATGGACAACAAAAAAAGTATGAACTACTTACATTTATGGTGGTCAGGTTTTCCCTTATTTATTCATGCTAAGGTATTATAGCAGCATATGTGATGTCATACATTGATTTGAGACCACTACAGCTGAATTGTTTTAGCTGTTATGGTTGTCATAGTGATTATAGCCATTGATTAATTATCAGCAACTTAACTTCTCTGTCCTAGTGCTAGAAGATTTGAGAGAGATCAGTCTGATAGGTGTGCTTGAATATTACAATGAGCAGAGGCTTAGTAAATTTAGGCTTCTCACTTTTAAGGGTTTTCTCCCTTATATTCTAAAACAGAAGTTTAATAAAGAATGTGATAAAACTCTAAAAGAAGAGCTTTCGTATTCCAGTGGCCAACGTTGTCTGTAATCTTTTTTTGTTGTACACAACTGTAAAAAAGTTGGTGAATATAGAAAAACATGGAATTATTTCACTTTAACAGATAATGGAGCATCTTTCAAATGCTTGAAACCAGAGAGCACTCATCTTTAATGCAAGCTGGGGGAAATTGAAGAGGCTTATTCTTACAATTCATTCAAATTTAAAATATTTTTCCAAACATGCATTTTGTGATCAAACATGAAGATGTTAAATATTAAAAAGGTGACATAAATATTAAATATCTTATACAATATCTTCCAGTTAAATACTGCATTTATCAGAAGTGATTTTTCCTAAGGGGTGAAGTGTCACTTGTGCCTCTACCAATTGTGAGTAGCCCCAACTCTCACTGTTAAACAGTTGAAATCCATGTATTTAACTGCAGTCTATTGTACTCTGTGTGTGAATGTGTAGTAAATAAAAAGTATATTGTATCTATGATTGTGTGAAAAATTACTTGATCAAAGCTGAGCCTCCAGCTGAGAACTAATCTCTCCTTCCCCCATTGCTCATGCAAAAGACAGTTGTAATGCCAAAACCAAAGCTTAAGAGTTATTTTTTCTTAGGGAACCACCATTTTAAATCAAGCCAGTAAGGCTTTCTTCTTTTTTTATTTTTTTCCTTCTTTTTTTTTTTTTTTCTTTTTTTTAATGTTAGCTTCTTCCTAGTGATGCTGTAGTTATTTTTAGGAAGCACTTATGAAACCTGTTGCCAGCTCTTGCAGCTTTTAAAGATAGTTTCTTCACTTGCTTTAGCTGATTTTATTTTTATTTCATGGTTTATTTTGGAGCCAAAATGGGAGCTTTTATAGAATGAAAGGTAAAAATCTGGGGTTGTTTTTTGTTTGTTTTTTTTAATTTGAGGATTTTCAACAGAAATACGTGTTTAAAAGGAAGTGATATAAAATTCAGCTTTGATAAGGAATTGGTCCTTTGAAATGCCTTATCTATAACTTAAACATTTGTAAATCCGTTAGTAGGTACATGTTCTCTATAGTGTTATGAAACACCAGCCATTTTTTTCTTGTAACTCAAAACACTGTATATCTGGATGTTATGCAAGGCAGATTTTCAGTGCAGAAGTGTATGGTTTTCCTTACATGCAATAATCCAATTATGATGAGTTTAAAATAAATATTTTAAAAATCACAAATTTATAATTCACTACAATATGTAATACAGGAGAATCTTTAGCAGCACTTCTGTCAGAATACATGTCCAAGATGAACTAGTTCAGTAATAGAGAAGTCATATCCATTAATACACTTATGTACTTTAAAGTACATGCTGTTGCATTAAGAATTTCTGGCTTCAAAAGGTAAATGGAAAGATATATCTCTGTATTTAATTGTATTATATCATTCTGGGTTAAGATCAGTTTCTTCCAATGTTCTACTCTTCTCGCAAATATCTCCTTGTCTAAGAAAGCATTTCTTTTCCATTAATTAATGCTATCTTCTTTTCATTACTTATTTAATGAACTACTTAATGTCAGCTTTGCCTGGAATTTATTTTCATGTTTCTGCCTTATTGTCTCTTACATTGCACGCTGTATTTAGTACAATAGCGAAATTATACATTTGTGGCTTTCCAGGATCCATTGGCACCTCCATATGGACATGAGACACTGTGACTCTAAAAGAAATACCAACATTTGTTTTGAAGATAATTTTAACTGACAAAGCTGATTTGTAAGGCAGAAAAAGCAAACAACAGGTTATGTGTAGTAATAGTCATAAATGCTAGTCATTGCAAGCCTGTTTTTGCAATTATTATAGCTCAGCTATAGAGCATAAATTATGTTAAAACTCTGGAAAGCATCATGTTTCTTTATATGGTACACATTTCTGTAATACTTGTCTAATCCAGGAAGTGTTCTGAGTAACAGTAAGCCTCAAATTGGTAAATATTTAATTGTGTGTTGAGCTAGTCATACGTTAGATAATAGAAATAGCTTGTGCAAATTTTACCAGGTCCAAAGCCTTCATTTCTGTAAATGTGAGTTTGCATTTGATGGAATGGAGGATTCCAAATAATTGATCATTGATGTTCTTTTGCCTTTACAGGTGATCTTGTTGAAAGAATAACATAGGAGGATTAGCATAATATGTGTTAGTGGATTCAGAAGAGCAGGGAGAGACACGCATCATTTAGGTCTTACTGGAATTTCTGCTTATTGCTGTTATAAAGCAATATATTTCATGTCACATATGGTATTTTTTAAATTATGTGGGGAGGGGATTAAAAACAGTTGAACAGGGATTTTGCTTGGGGAATTAAGTGAAAAGTTGTTTTGTTTTCTTCGTTTGTAACCATTGTTTCAGGCTCCTAAAATGTCTTGCTTCATCATTCAGTAGTGTCAGCTTGTCGGAAGATGGACAGCTGGCAGCTTTGTTCACATGCTTGGTATATTTCAATATGCTTATTTCAAGTAGTATAAATGTTAATTACATCACCTGTAGAAACAGTTTCTTTGTGTTGCACCTGACACATAGGCAAATATTATGAGGAAGGTGATTTTTTTTTTTTTTACTTTATTTAAATAGATTATAATTTTATCTTTTGCTCTCCAGACGATGATCGTGAACAATAACAAAGGCAGTAGTCTTTGTGTAGTGACATGGGCCTCTCCTGCTGCTTCAGGCATCTTTAAAAATTGATGGACCCAATTATGGGTTTGTTAAAGTGGCTGGTCACAAAAACACATTGGCAGTGCATTAAAGTGGTTGAAATATTACGGAGCTCAGTAAGTGTTCTAAACGTTTAATTTTCTGGGCTCATTCTTGCAACTCAAATTCCTTTTGCAGCACCTGTTGTTGGTATATGGCCCTCCACTAGCAAATTGTGTCCTTTCCAAAGCTAGTGATACTTTTCCAAACTTCTCTGTTCCAAGTCCACACTTCCCAGAACTCCCAACTACACAAGGAGTGCTCTGGGTTCATCATCATCTGAAAGCTGCTTTGAGGTTTAAAGGCAGGATACAGACAGTACATATAATTAATTTCAAATATGGCACATGCAACTCAAAATTTATAGATTTTATAGGTAATAAAATCTCATTCAGAAACCTCCCTTTACCGTTTTCACTACTTCAGGAACTCTGTCTAGCTCTTCAAGGGTCTGAAGATGGTTTCATTTCTTCAAGTCTTGCCTTATTTTTTGAGCAGCAGTTTCTTCTAAGAGCCATCAGTGTTTCCTTTCTGTTATTGCCCTTACTTGGCCACCCCATTCTAATACTACCCCTCTGCTTTTCCATGCGTTGTTCCTTCATTAAAGGCAACTTTCTAAAGGTTTTGCAGGAAAAGCAGATGGAGATTGGGGACACGCTATCACAAGTTACTTTTTCTAGGGCATTTCTGTTTGAATGAAATTTATGTAAACTTGCCTTGCATCTTTACCTGTTTTCCATTGCTAGCCATTTACTACTGACTGTTAATAATAATTTATTTTTTGTCCAGTCTCAAAAGCATGAAAAGCAGAGGCACAATGTAATTTAAATAAAAATAATTCTTCCAGAAAAAATGAAGTTTGCAGACTGATAAAGCTTTAAAGAGACATCTCCTAGTCTCCTGCACATAGTAGACACTGTATTTTGCTGGATATGTTTTGATAAAATATCACAGAACCCTGAAAGAAAAATATATGAATAGACCTGACTCACGGGATGAGTGTGGTAACGATATTCTCTAAACCCCTCAAATGTATTTCTGTGGGCCAGAACAGAAGATGAAAGAGCTCAAAAATGGTTTTCCCTTTTGCGAAGTAAACTCTGACAGTTTGTTCCTTAGAGCAAACCAACACTAGGGATCTACCTGCATTACAATTATCTTGAATTAAAATATTATTATGTTACTCAGCTAATTTGAGGAAATTTTTCACATGAATGCACTATAGCCAAAAGACACCAGTTGCATTTCCTAGCTTTCTAGTGTCCCTCCTATGATGGCAGTTTGTGAAGGGGGGAAAGCTGCAGAGAAGGAAAAAGAAGGGGAGTGAAAATCCCTAGGAAAATTACATTCAACCTGTTTATTACCCCTACATCTCCTAAATTTCCGAAGGAGATTTCTCTTCTGTTAACCATGTGAAAAGTGTAATCTTTGAGTCAGGTGAGGAAAGCAGTAGGAAGCAAGCAGGGCTGAAAGTAGAACCTTATTGTGTACCCTGTACGTGTGCATTTCTATTGCTGTGGTGCACTGTTGAGCTGGGTGGGGGCTTGGTTATATTGTAGAGGTTGCTTTAGCCCCAATGGCAAGCTTGTGCTTTTTCTTCAGGGGGCAACTAAGGCTTGCCAACTTAAGGGAATTGGGGTTGATTGCAGTAGCTGGACTGCAGCTGCAAAGGCAGATGGAAGGTAATTTTCATGGGGGGTCTCATGCATGGGTGAAACAGGGACTAATGATAGGGAAGGGTTGACCACAGAAGCAAGTTTGAAGGGTGTGCGGCCCCTGGAGTTCAGAAAGTATCTTGTGTAAACTAGGGTGAAGCACATAAGTTAGGATTAAGCTGAACAGGCAAAACTAACTTTACAGGGATTTTTCATGGAGAATGACCAGTAAACACAATGCCACTTAGGTAGTTTGGGGGCAAGCCAGAGAGCAGAGAAAATGCATGTGTATGGAAAAGGGCAGGACTGATAGGCAAGTCAACCATTAAAAAGAAATGATCAGATGTAAAAGTTTGAGAACAGCAGCTTTATGGACAGAGGAACTATAAACTACACAGATTTCTGAGACCATCAAAAGAGGGAGAAATTTTCTTCTGTTTGAAATTTTCAGTAACTCTAGTGATTAAAACAAAACAACTGTTATTCATGAAAAGTGAGTAATTGTGCACTGAGGGGACTGTTGAAATTCAGTTGGATGTAAAGAGTTTGATACTGTTCAGGAATAATGGCTGGAGTGTACCATTGGGCACTTGCATCCTTAGACTTTTACAATTATAAATCTCAATTATTTATCAGGATTGATTCTTTGCACTGCATATTTTTCCTTGTCATTCTTAGCAATTGACTTTCAAATTTTTGTTCAAGTTGCTTCTAATGTAAATAATGCTTAGTGACTACAGAAATACTCTTGAACTTTAGCCAAAGCTACTGTCACGCAGATTTCATTATGATCAGTGCCTGAAACAGTTTGAGAAAGAGTTTAACCTTTCTGGTTGGTGTTTTTTTCTAACATCTGTAATATTACAGAGCATCCTCTTACAAGATTCTTTTGCCTTTCTAGTATTCTCGGATATGCTTACTTTACTGTTTTGAGGGTTATTCTATATTTAATATTTGCATGATTTCATCTGGAAACAAATTGCTTTAAATCTTACCATTTTACCTATTTCAGTCTTCTCCAGTTTCTCCAAACAGATGCATCATAGAGATTTATAATGAAGTTGTTACAAGGCATTTTGTGCATTCTTTTACCTCTCAAGGCTTTCCTGCATTTGCATGCTGGATTGTGCTGTCCTAGCAGGGAAGCTATAAATAGACTCTCTGATGCAGTGAGGCAGCTATGCCACAGTGGCCTTGGAAATCTCAGCTTTCACCTGTAACTCTGCATTCCCATTCCCACCGACCTCACTCTTGCAGTAGCAGGATGCAAAAGGGACGTAAATGATTGATTGCTGCTGGTGGTGTCTAAAGTCTGAGTGTATTAAATTTGATGGAGCAATGAAGAATAGAGTAAGCTGTGAAGCTGCTCCTATCAAAAAGGGGTAGGGTTATAATAATTACAGTTATTGCAGTACATTAGATTTTGGTTGTTTGCACAGGTGACTTAAATTGAAATTAATGTTACTACCAAAGTTAAATATGTCTTTAAAATCCTTTCTTGTTCACAGAAGTTACTTTAACATTTTTAATCAATTAAGTTTATAAAGTTCTTGTATGTATTAAAGTACTGTAGAGTACATGTTTACATTGTGAAAGATGTTTTGTTTTTTTACAGTGTGAAAAATTCAAACTATTGTCTCCCATCATATACTGCTTATAAGAATTATGATTATTCAGAGCCAGGAAGACACAATGAGCAGCCAGGCCTGTGTGGCCTGAGTAACTTGGGGAATACATGTTTCATGAATTCAGCAATTCAGGTACGTACTTTAGAATAAAATGAGCTTGTCTTATTACTTGAAAACTAATGTCTTGTTATATTTTGTCATGTTTGGAAACTAATATTAAGAGATCCATTAAGTAGCAGGATAGGATCAAAAGTGAGGAAATAATACATCTATATTGGTAGACTGGAAAAGTTGATTTGCATAGCTGCATTCATTGTTTCCCCTGTTTTTGCACAGTGATCAATGTCAGAAAGATTTGACCAACATTCTACGTGACTGAACCCTGAAGTGGGATTCTTTGCTTTTTGTAATGATTGCCATGCATGCATGTCACGAAAAATATTTTTTCATTTTGAGATGCCCTTGAGTACAGATTGTAGTGCTGAAGTGTCAAAAAGTAGATCACTGGTGGATTACTGGGCCTTTATTTCTAACTAATTATCATCTACTTTCAGTGCGCAGGTTAACATGCAGGGAACCTTTGAACATACTGACCTTTCTCCTTTGAATCGCTGCTGTTTCATGGATGAGATATTTTACAGGAATGTAATAGCTTGTTTCTTTGCTATGATTGCAAGAGAAATGCTAGTATACCTAATATTACTCTTACCAAGACAAAAAAAACTTAGTCCTTTTACTTTTAAGTGGAAGCTGCAGTGGTAGATTAATTAATGATCAGAAAAAACTAGTAGTTTAATTTGGTTTTGTTTAGTTCTGGACTCGTATTTTGTCATCAAAGCAGTCTTACGTTAAAAAACTGTAAAGTGTATTTAGGTTCTTGTTCACATTTTTT